AGAAAAAAGAGCTACTTATGATGTATGGACGTGACAAAAACACTGAAGGACGTAAGGATAAGTAGTGATTAATAATAAATCTGAGCAGGTCACCACGACACGGTGAGAGGAGTACCTGAGTGGCCTGCAAAGACGCCTGCATCTCCTGCAGCTCCTCTTCGTGAACTTTCCTGAGGAAGGCGATCTCGTCCAGCAGCGCCTCAACTTTCTTCTCCAGCTCGAGGCGCGCCAGGGTGGCGTCGTCCACGTCCTTCCGGTATCCCTTCAGAGTGTTCTCCGCCTCCTCCCGCAGCCTGCTCTCCTCCTCCAGCTTCTCCCTCACGCCCTCCAGCGTGTCGTTCATCTGCACGCAGTCCACGTGCATCTGGCTCTTCTCGTGGGTCAGCTCCTCCACGCGGCCCGCAGCTCGCGGATCTCCTGCTCGTAGAGCTCGTGCAGGCGCGAGGGCTCGTTGTTGCGCTGGCGCAGCATCATGACCTCCGCCTCCAGGACTTTGTTCTGCTGCTCCAGGTTGTGCACCTTCTCGATGAAGGACACGAAGCGGTCGTTGAGGCCTTGCAGCTGCTCCTTCTCGTTGGTGCGGATGATCTTGAGCTCGTTGGTGACCGCGGTGGACTGGGTCAGGTCCATCGAGTCCTGCATGGAGGAGAAGACGCGGCCGGGCGCCCCGGACCTGCGGTAGGTGGCGGAGGACATCACGGAGGGTGAACCGTAGGTGCGGTGACTGCTGCGGTATCCTGCGGGGTGCAGGCGGGACGGGCTGCTGCTGCTGCCCATACCGACGCGGCCGGACCGGGGGGCATCTCCGAAGATCTTCCTGTAGGAGCTGCTGCTGTAAATGTCGCTGGAGTAACTCATGTTTCCTTCACTTTGGTATCCGGTCCTGGTGCTCTGTGCGGGAGAGAGAGAGAGAGAGAGAGAGAGCGAGAGAGAGAGAGAGTGTGAGGGTGAGGGTGTGTGTGAGAGAGAGAGAGAAAGTGAGATGCGAGTGAAGTCTGGCCAGGACAGGTGCTTTTATAGTGAAGGAGGGCGCGCATCATTTGACGCAAGGACAGCAGAAGAAGAGGGGAAACCTGCAAGCTTTTGCAGAAAGCCTCCGCCCTCTGGGGAGACACGAAATCACTCATGCAGCTCCTCGCTCCAGCCTTGTAGCTCAGGCATCAACACACACAGCAGCCCTGAATGAACACGTTGTGTAACGCGCTTTTTAACCAGCATATATTGAACTTTTCATTAAGTTACACCCTCACGTCCTCCTTTCATATGCAACCAAAGACACTTGATAATAAAATCACACGTGTAATCTCATTTCCCCCTGCACATGTTCTCCCTCAGGACTGTCTCATGTTACCCCCCCAGTCCATACTGTCCACTGTCATTGCAGTTTTTTCTTTGCTGTCCCAGCAGAAAGCCAGAACAGGGATCGATGTATAGAGCTGTGCGCCGGGAGTGTTGTTGTGGTGCTGCAGTCTCTGCATCCAGCCACACTCATCCCCCCGACCTCTGCAATATCGGAATACAGGATGAGGCTGATTAAAGATGTCCGATTCACATCATCATCAGTCTCATCTGCAAGCCCCGAGAAGTGGAAATCGCGAGTGATGGATAGTAGTAAGTTAGAGATATGATCCTCTGTCCTGTTGGACGGCATCCTATTAGATCACAACTTAAATTTAGACGAAATTAAACAATGTGAAGTTATGTCCTAAACGGAAACACACTGCAGCAGCAGCAGCACGGGAAACAAGTAACTTAAAATGTGTGTAAAGCCCGGGTAAACAACAGAGGATTAAAGTGTATCTTTTATATTACATGTAAACCTCTGAGATGAAAACAATAACTGTGGTCCTTGGTGAGCTGTGAGCATTCAGTATTCAGTCTCTGTAGGTCACATAAAGACCTGTGTGTGTGTGTGTGTGTGTGTGTGTGTGTGTGTGTGTGTGTGTGTGTGTGTGGCCTTTGTGTGTGTGTGTGTGTGTGAGCTGCGCAGAGCTGCTGTCGCTGGCCTTGGTGCTGATCCCGACTGGAGGCGTGCAGGAGAGGGACAACGCCCCTGCGAAGGAGAGAGCTGCCACCCACCCACAGGACTGCAGCCCCCACCACCTCTCCCTACAGCAGCACACACAACAAGGCGCCTCGGTGCTCCTATTTACACCGCGTGTGTGGAAAATAGCCCAAGACAACACACCCACTGCCAAGTCATCACCTCACACCCGTTCTGATGCTAGTTTCACAACAGGATTCAAGTAATGGCTTTTAATGCTGCTTCTCCCAAAACAACATAGTCCTGATGGTAACAGCAGTCACCTCATTATTCAGCCTTAAGGCCTGAAGTCACACACGACTTTGACAGTGTTTGCATAGATAGATAGATGGACGGCCACTAGGGGCGCTTCAGCATCAGCGGTCCCTCACACGTCCTGCAGACCTCAGCTGTTACTTTGCTGTTGTATCTCCTTCATGCATTTAAAATAAATGATCAACTCATTAGCTTCACCCAGATAACATCTTTTCCCGCCTGTGCCTTGCAGGACTTTTCTCTTCCCTCGAGTGAGAATAATCAGTTTCATGGAGGTTTGGATTGAACTGTGTGACTGATCGGAGGGTGCACTCAGGGTGTGTCCAGACTTTTTTTTTTTGACTGGGGTGGACCAACTGGGGCTCTGACGCCTGCAGGGCGTGGCCTGAAGTGGGATGTGTGCACAAACACAAGCGCACAAATAAAAATGAGTGATTTACTCTTTCTAACTTCAACTATCATAGTATCTACTTTATAACACAAGATAATGGAAACATAAATATCCTGTTATCTTAAATCTTTAATGACACAAAAAGAGGACGCTTGTACATCCATTATCTTTCACTGGTTTTCCAAAATGCATGCAAATTCTGCACACTATCTTACGTACAAAAAGACATTCATTGGTGATGTTTTGGTCTTGACAGTGTGCATAACTTTCCTATACTGCACCTATAACTCAGAATAGTTGTTTCAGCCTCTGACAGGGCAAACAGCCAATCACAGTTTAGGATTTTTGGGGTGTCACCTGAGGTGGCTTATGATTTGTCCCGAGGTCGAGGATGAAGCTCAGGGGCGACCGAGGCTTTTGAGTAGCAGCGCCAAAGCTCTCCACATGTTGGTCTGTCCCACACACTGCCTGTTTTTAAAACATGGCTTTAAGCTCTGGTTGAGAGACTGCTCTTATTCTTTTTTTATTCCTTCATATTTGTCTGAACACTTCTACTTTTTCATGTCCTGTTGTTTTCACATCGCTCTGTGTTTATTGTGTCTTTATTATGTTTGGTTTAAATGTGCTTTATGAACACATTTGGATCGGATACTAACAGGACAATATAAAGTTTGACTCGGACATAAAACCATGCATTCAAGTCCAGCCTGAGACTCTCATGTTCCTGTCAGCCCCAGAGGTCACTCGTTTAGTCAGTCTCCAGGATGTTAAGCTGCAGGGCATCACAAAAAAACAATACACAAACACACCGCATACTGAAGGTTAACTCCTCCCACCTTCTGTTTCTGCTACAAGGTGAGGTGGTCAAACTTCACAGACTAAACACTGTTGAGTTTTTCACAACAAAAAAGTCATCACTGAATGCACACCTCTACAGATAGTGTGCATGTTATGATATGTTATGTTATGTTATGTTATGCGTGAGTGTGTGTGTTTGAGGGAGCTTGTTTTATCCTGACCAAACTGACCATTTTGACCATCTGTGGTGCAAAAAGTTCCTCTTTTTTTAAAGAGGGAGGAAGCCAGTGACTCAGCAGGAAAAGAAATGACTCGACTGTTATGTCTCTGGCTCAGTGTCAGCGTCCCAGACAAACCAGTAACAGGACACACCCCAAATGTTTTCATCTTATTCTTCTGAAAACATCACATCCCCCGTTTACAGTTAATGTTCAATCTGTATTCAGTCAGACAACGTAAACACAAGTTATATGAAACTGCACCCTGAGCTGACTCTCAGGTCACAGCTTCAGTTTGCACTGATACTCAACTTATATATCATGATTGAAATGACAAATTAGAACTTTGTTTGTATCCCTCAGTAGCCCCTTCAATGCCTTTTGCATCCAGTTCGTGCAGCTGGTCTGTTTCAGAGGACACACTGCGGTGCAGCCATTAAACAGGCAGGCGGCGCTGTTACAGCAGCAGAGACAGAAAGCAGGGTTGTCAGGGTTTGTGGCGTTTTGCAAATGGAGGAACAAGTGTGATGATTAATGGAAACAGAGCCTCTGAAATCAATCTACTCTGTGTGTGTGTAAAAAAGGTCAAAAACACACAAAAAGGCTTTCAGTGCAAAGCACGTGGGCACTTCAGAGCCTTAGAGAGAGAGTCAGAAGCGAGCCGGTGCATGGAGCGGAAGTTCATGAAAACAGACACTTTTTTAGATCTTTAGTTATTGTGAACATACTTTAGTAGGTACATAGATTAAATATATGAACCCCAAAAAGGGCAGAATATGGGCCCATTAATAAGTCAATAACTTCCTGTTTTTGTCTTGAAACAGATTTTTATTTATTGAATGTCATAGTATTATTAAAATGTAATGAGCGAGACTGTGATATAATATTTCATTTAGTCACATTTACAATAAATAGGACCTTCTCTCACATCTTAAAAGCTGACATGCCAACCACTTGAACTGCACAAATAAAGCTTTTATTGATCAGAAGATTAGAAAGTTAAGAAGAGTAGAAAATGTATTTAACTGTCAAGAAGAACAACAAAGCTAAAGAAATACAGTTTTGTAAGAAATACATTTGTTCTAAACTGACAGAACATGTTGGTCTGTTTTCTCCTCATCGTCTCTTCCTCCATGGAGCTCAATTTTAAAAATGTTGTCCACATTCATACTGTCTATATGTTGGTGTCAGCGTTGGCAACTCTGCACCAGTTCACAGTGGTACACAGCTTGCCAATGGACTCTTTTCTCAAGAAAACGTACAAAATTAAGTCTGCAAGAGGACTCAGCTTAATAAACATAACAGATAAGCCAAACACAGTTCGGTCTAATATGTTCATGTACTTGAGAAGAAGGTAAATGATCCAGGGCAGGAACAGCAGCATGACAGAGATCTTGATGGTTCGTTTGAAGCGGTACCACAGTGGGTGGGCGATGACCAAATATCTGCAATAAAAGATGGACACGTTGTCTTTGAGGAGGTGCAGAATAAGTCAGAAATATTAAAGTCAGAAACAGACGTAGCTACAGGACGTATAGTTACCTTTCCAGTGAGACACACACCATGAAGCAAATACTGGTCACTAGGCTACTGCGGTAAATATAACGTACGATGTCATCATTCTGTTTTATCTCCTGAATGAGCAGGCAGCAGAACTGAATGACGTCAGTAATGAGAAGGTTGATGACGTAGATTGGAGCCACATGATCCTTTCTTACCTGCAGAAAAACATAAGAAGACAATCAGTTGTAAACATGTTCTCATCCTTCTCCTGCCCAGCTGTTGCAGTAAGAGACAGTAATTCAACTGAATCCTTGCCCCTGAGCCTGATCCATATAGAGGGGCAGCAGATCTCTATGGGATTTGCTGAAGACGCCGCTGATGAAGCAATTAAACTGTGAGGCAGCAGAGACTTCAGACTGTGCTCTGCACTCTAGTCCATTTACCTGGCAAACGTCTACTTATGTAGCACACAAGATGGACGAGCTGCTGCTCCTGACAGCACAAATACAGACTTTAGCAGATCCACTGCCCTGTGTTTCACTGAAACCTGGCTCAGTGAACACCTCCTGGACTTTCAGTTCTTATCACCCTCCTCATGTGACATCAATATATGCACACTGCTTTAACACAGTAAGAACTGTCTACCTCTCAAAAATTGATTGTTGATCTGATTCTGATCCTGAGACTGTTCCACAAACACATGGCACAGACAGTAAATGAATAAAGTCATGTAATGTACATACCAGAAAGCAAAGAGCATAGATGACCATGAGCGTCAGAGGAAGGCCGATACTAATGATGACCCATGTTACCACATGCATTATGAAATATAATTTTCTGTGATAGTCATAGTCGATGTATTCATAGCCATTCCATGCGGTGACGTTATTGTAGTTTTCTGTCATTCTTCAGATTGAAACCTAGAGCTAAAGAGATCAAGACATAGGGAGTTTTTAAGAAATGTGTTGCACTGTGACATAAATGAAGCAATGACCAGCACTAATAAAAAAATTAAACAGGGAGTCATTAACCATGTGTTTTTTCTGCAAGTGTAAAAACTGATGATTGTTAAAAAGTTTAGTCAAACTATTTTTTTTTTTTTATGTTTTAAATGATCCCTTTTGATTTGGACATCTAAGAGGATGATTCATTGGTCAGGACTGCTGAATACGTTAAACATGAGGCTTTCATCATAGAGAATTTACTTGAGTCAAGATCATCTAAACAGATATGAATCAAACTGTAGGAAAGCACCAGATCTTTGATTTACTCAAGTCAAATACAAGTTCAGTCACACTGAGTCAAAGTCAAACATTTTTTGTTCATTATTTCAGATTTTCTCAGCTGATGAAATGTTATAATGTTTATATTTAGAATTTCAGGTAAACACAGTGTTACCTTCAGTTAAGCAACAACCATAGCCAATCAAACATAGCGTCTCTCAACAGTGTTTTTTCAGACATTTCAAATATCACAATCTGCTAATTAAAGTAAATAAATGGGTCTTGAATAATCCTCCGCTGCCCTGATTCTGCATCTGATTCATCGATGTTATTAGATCATTTAACTCTAACTCGCAGGGAGAGTTTCAAAGATAACCACAAAACTCTTCTTCACACCTCAGCTGTTGTCATTTCCTGGAAAATTAAAACATTTCTAGAAATACATCTCAGTGGGTTATGATGGTTTGGAGGAAAGGAAACAATGTGTGATTATATTAAGAGAAAAAAATCATTTGAATCTGTTAATATACGACGGAGGATTAGGGCCAATTTAAAAAAATAAAGTAAATTTACAAGATTAAAGTCGTAAATTTACGAGTTCGAGACCAGCCTGCGTGAAACTGATGAAAGGAGAACCCTTAAAGTCTTTAAAGAATAAAGAATAAAGTCTTTATTTAGTCTATATCAGAAGATCAGCAGCTTCCTGTTCTCAAATGACAAACATGGAGCATCTTGTACACAAAAGTTTCACGAATAAGGAAATACGCTACTTCCTTGTGTAGTCGGTTAGGGTTAGGGTCAAGAGAAGTTTCACTTCAACTTGTAAGAACTTGTTTATCTGTAAAATGATGAACAGAACACAAACTGTCTCTGCACACGAGACACTTTAACAAGGCAGACCGATAACAGACACTAATAGT